TTAGATGAACCTTTGAAAGACTTCATAGTGAACCCTGCCGACCTTCCTTGGTAGTGGGTTAAGAGGCTCGCGACCTTGGGCGAAAGGGTAAATCACGACTCACAGTGAAAGTGTACAACCTCTGCAGAGTGTAAAACTGGTATATCAGCCGTGCTGACGGTCACGAGCGGCCTTGGAACTCTTACAGAATAGATGATGAACACTGATGATAAAAATGCTCACTAATAATTACTATTTATGCCATTCATTATTCATGTTTACCTGATCATGTGTTTATACGGGTTTATGATAAATTTGATGCTACTCAACTGCTTAAAATCATGACTCATTAAAAGCTAATCGCAGTTAAACCAATGTCAGCCTTTTGAGCCTCATGAACCCCATGTTATATTTGTTGAGTACGACATATGCTCACCCTTACTATTTCCCCCACACCCCCAGACTTTAGAAATGTTCCGAAGATTGATAGAGTTACGGAGTTCCCAGAAGGCAAATAGAAGTGCTAGGCATATGTTACCCCAGTTAGCTGTCCTTGTGAAGAATGGAGCCTGAAGATTAGCTACCGTTCCGCGATACTCTGATGTAAGTATTAAATATGAGTATATTTCGTTATATAATAAAGCATTGTCTCTTGATACTATTGTAATTTGTCGCTATACGTGTGATTTGACTTCCTGGGCACATATATAGTTAGTACTCAGTTTTGTCTTTAAAACTGGGTGTAACAATATTGTACTATTATACTCAGCAATATAACATGGGGTTCATGAGGCTTAAAAAGTAGACATTGGTTTAACTGTTGTTACCTTTTAGTGAGTAACAATTTTAAACAATTAAGTAGCATCAAATTTATTATAAGCCCACATAAACACATGATCAGATAAACCATCAGTGATTAAGAGTTCTAAGGCCGCTCGTGACTATGAGCATGACTATTATAATAGTTTTACATTTTGCAGAGGTTATACACTTTGTACATGAGCCGTGATTTACCCTTTCGCCCGATGTCGCGAGCCTCTTGACCCACTACCAAGGAAGGCTGACTAGGTTCATTATGAAGTCTTTCAAAAGTTCGTGTAACAAGTTAGGGCCGCTAGGATTTCAATTGTCAAGCTGATGTAGAGCTCCCTTTCGAAAGGCACACTCAGGCAGAAATACTCTTAGGAACAGAGGCCACACTATACCCGACGCGTTAAGCCCCTCTTGCGCCATAAAGGTAACCACTAACAAACAAGAAAATATCCTCATACTTAACTAAAGCCAGAGCCATATAGCACTCATCATTATACTTAAGTCCCAGTTGACCAGTACAGATAAGTCCTTAGGGAGATGAATCTAGAGCATTACAAAAACTATGCTCTAGCCCCCTTGTTCCTTGTTGCTAAAAAACTTCTTTTAGTGTTTATTGCATATATCATGGTCTTTAATTGAGTGCTAGCATAATACTACCCAATGCATAAACCCACAGAGAAAACAAAGAAAAAATTAGGCGAATAAACAAATATTCCAAGAGTTTAACAAATAAAATTCAAGAAAAACAAAGAACGAAAGAAAAAGAAAATAAGACAAAGTCTACTAATTACACCAGAGTTCGTATACATTGATCAAAAGGTGTTGAAAAGTCTTGAATTGACTCCATGGGAGAGCAATAGCAATTCCCTGAAGAAAGTAAGCCAGCAGGCGGCTAGAATCGATGGATTCCATTAAAAATGTGTTTATTCCGTGCTGTCCACATTGTCCAGATTATTTCGGATGCATGTTTCCTTGATGAACAAAGAAAAAGACTTTGTGCTTTGACTAACAAAAGCAATCCCATAGCCACCGGTAAGACTCATGTATCAGGGCCTTTGTAAGCACTTGATGGCACAAAATTGGAGCCCCAGATGTACTTCGATGTGTCACTGTCATTATTCAGCTGCAATTCTTCCACTTTCTGTGAGATGATTTGTAGCTGTGTGAAGGTTATTTCAGAAACTTGCAGGTGGAGAAGTTGGCTGATATCATCTTGGTTGCAGACTTTTTCAACAGAGATATACTTATTCTTTGCAAAGGAGATGAAAGCGTTGGGAAAATGAGCGATGCATTAATTAGAGACCGGTGATGTGTACATATAGGCGTGGTGGGGAGCCGGAATGGCAGGCCCACGAGCCAGGAGTCCCATAGCACGGTTATATTCTAACACTCCCCCGTAGTCTAAACTGGGAGTACCGCGAACATTGAGACTAGATCTAAACTCTGTAAAAACAGACGTCGGTAAGCCTTTGGTGAAGATATCGGCATACTGGGATGTTGTTGGAACATGTAGAACACGGACTTCTCCAAGGGCAACGCGGTCATGGACGAAATGCAAATCAATCTCAATGTGCTTGGTCCTCTGGTGCTGAACGGGGTTGGTGGACAAGTAAATGGCATTGACATTATCGTAGTACACAATAGTGGCATGCTGAAGAGGGCTATGGAGCTCGTGCAATAGTTGACGCAGCCAACACGCCTCGGCGACTCCATTGGCAACTGCGCAATACTCAACCTCCACACTGGATCTAGAAACTGTTGCTTGACGCTTGGAAGACCTGAAAATGGGGTTGTCCCCCAAGAAGACGCCGTACCCAGAGGTGGAATGGCAGGTGTTCGGGCAACCAGCCCAATCAACATCAGAATATACAGTGAAATCAATAGGCGAGGTGGGAAGCAGATGAAGACCAAGATCCATGGTACCCTACACATAGCGCAAGATGCGCTTCGTGACGGCGAGGTGTGGCTCTCTCGGATCATGCATGCAAAGACAAACCTGCTGAACAGCATAAGCAATGTCAGGATGCGTGAGGGTGAGATATTGCTAGGCACCGGCAATGCTGCGAAACTGTGTGGCATCAGGCACCGGATCGGAACACCATCAACAGACATCTTGGTGTGAGTATCAAGGGTGCTACAAGGCTTGCAGTCATGCATACCAGCACGGTCTAGAATATCCATTATGTACTGCTTCTGAGAGAGGAATAAACCATTAGCTCGACGTTCAACAGAGGTACCAAGGAAGTAGTGAAAAGAACCCATATTTGTCATAGAGAATTCCCACCGAAGAGCTACAATAATCTGCCGGAGAAAACTCTGGGACAAGGCCGTGAGAACAATATCATCCACATAGAGAAACAAGAAGGCTGTGTCAACACCTCTACGGTAGATGAACAGGGAAGTGTCTACCTTCGCCTCAACAAAGCCATGAGATGTGATGTGAGAAGCGAAGCGACTGTGCCAAGCGCGAGGGGCCTGCTTTAGTTCATACAACGATTTGTTCAACCGGCACACATAATTGGGTCTCGAGGAGTCAACAAAACATGATGTCAACCCCACCTCTGATCCCTTTTTCAACTTAGAACGCCTCAAAGATGACCTCAATCGCCCCCTTTTTTTATGGAGGTCATCATTCTTTTGAGTTGGGCTATCTCGATAACCAGAAACAATAAGATTTTCAAGCAGATCAATGCCTTGACTCAGGGATGCAAGAATTTGTTTGTCCTGGAAATGGATGCACTGTTACTGCACGCCAAGAAGACTTACTCGCCAAGGTTGCAAGAATGGATAAGTGGTGTAGGTCGGTGGTAGTGTGTCTGCTAGTCTTTTTTTTCTTGATCACACAAAAGATTTGCGTGTTTTTGTATTAAGCGAGGAGAATTTTGATTACAATGGGTTGGGCCTTATAGATTTTCAATAAGCATATGTCCACCCAAACTCACACTTGACTACTCTATTACTCGCTGAAGAAGACAACCTAGGCTCCTCGCGCCGGCTTGCACCCACGACTCAGCCTCGTGCTTGATGTGCTTGAGTAATTCGGGAATTTGAGTGCTCGCTCCGCAGAAGCATCGCGCATTCCTTTCTTTCCATAGCTCCCAAGCAACTAATGCGAAGATTGAACCCGCGCCGTTGCGAAGCTGCCCTGTCCATTGCTCTCTCCAGGTGGTCCACCAATCCATAATTGAGATGGCCGGCTCGAGGTGTTGTGTTTCCCTCAGCGCCGATGGATGTACCACAAAACTTGGAGTAGGAGCACTCCACAATTATGTGATCAATGGATTCCGACTGTTGGTCGCATAGGAAACAGTTGCCGTGTGTCTCTAGACCGTGTCGTCGCCGCCTGTCGGCTGTCCAATGTCACCGCCTGAGAGCAAGCCAGATCAGGTTGCAGTCCGGCGGTGGGTGTGAAGCTTGGTGTAGGGCTCCGTAGGCTGATCTGACCGAGAATTTTCCATCCGACGCCCACCTCCAGATCACTTGATTCGGGTTGTCATTGAGCACAACCCTTTGAGTGGCGTTCCAGACTTGCAGGTAATCCAGGATGACTGGCATCGAAATCCCTCCTCGAATTTGCTGGATCCATGCCCGGTTCGTCAGCGCCTCTGCCACCGTTTGGTTCTGAACGACCCTTTTGGGGATGAGCTTGAACAATGTCGGTGCCATTGCTTGGATGGAGGTCCCTCCGATCCAGTTGTCTGTCCAGAAGACGGTCTCTGCACCGTGTTGCCGACGATCTTCAGGAGTTGCTGGCTTCTGAAAGCTATCTGCTAATACCTTTCTTTCCTTTTTTAGCGCTTCTGCTTAATTGTAACCACTCTTTTTATTATTTAAATTCATTCAGTAGGGGCCAAAACCCCTCCTGTTCTCCTAAAAAAAAGACGTGATCTTTCATCGATTAATATATTAGAAAAAATAAATAAGCCTTCATCTCCTTGTTATCTGATCCTACAGCAGACTCTGCTGCTCTTAAGCCCTTCACCCAATGTTGTGCGATCGAATAACATAAAATTTTGTCGTCTTTACATCAACAAATTGCTCATTCATGGTCATGAATAGATCAACTCGGATATATATTTTTCTATAGTTTTGTTATTCAATTCGTAACAACATGTTGTCATCTTCTTTGTCAAAGTTCGTAGCTACAAGCCAGCTGTGCAAAACTCAAGAATATTATCGGTTGAGTAGCTAAAAGTTTGACAGTGTCGTCAATTAAGTTTCTTAAATCTGGTGATACCAAATACAAAACCTAGGAGAAAAATTTGTAGACCTGATAGGAAAAGATACCAACGCCCACGGCAAGATCGTCTGCCTGCTATGGGAGCCACCTCCAGCACGCCATCATCGTAGTCGGTGGTAGCAATTTCGAAAACGTGCATCTCGTCTTCTTGCGGAGGCAGCAACGGCTTATTCTTTCTAGCCATTTTTGTTGCTTCATATCTCGACGCCTTCTTGTCTTCAGTAGCATCGATGTAGACAGTCGAGCCCTCTCCGACTTCTCTATTGATTAGCATCTCGGAAAGCCTCGTCATCACGTTCTTTTGCACCCACCTTCTTATGGGTCTTGCACCATACATCTGCAGGAGACAAAGAGTCCATGGTTAGTTACCAGCAAATTAACCAGCTGACACAAGACATATTAACCATGCTGAAAGTGGAGCTGTTCAGTGCTTACTGGGCGGTGGGATTCAAAGAATATAACATCCATGGCGGCATTGCTTACGAACAGAGAGATGCCCTTGTCGGCTACACTGGCAATGATGCTCTTCATTTGGATTCTGACCACCTCCTTGAGCTTGTCACGCGACAGCGGCTCAAATATCACAACGTCACTCAATCTGTTGAGGAACTCTGGCTTGAAGAATTTCTGAACCTGTTTCATGACAAGTCCTCGTGCAGCTTGCATTGTTTCTTCACCGTGCATCATTCCCTCTGCCATGTGTTCCGCTCCCAGGTTTGAGGTCATGATGATCAAGGTGCTCTTGAAATCCACGGTCCGTCCTTTGCCTTCGGTCAAAACACCGTCGTCGAGCAGCTGAAGGATGGCGTTGAACACCGCGGGATCCGCCTTCTCCACCTCGTCAAAGAGGATGACACTGTAAGGCCGCCTTCGAACCTTTTCAGTCAGCTGATCACCATCTTCATGACCAGTATAGCTGAATTGAGCATGTCATCAAAGAAATACCTACATCCATCAGTGAGTGAGCTAAGATAAAGTGCAAAAATAATGGTCATTTCAGCAGCAGAAGGAGAGTATGTAGTACGCAGAATAGAATTAACCTTGGAGGTGCTCCTTTGAGACGCAAAACAGACCCGGCGCTGACAAATTCAGACATGTCGAAGCGAATCAACATCTTCTCACTGTCAAATAGTTGCTCATCGAGAGCCTTTGCAAGCTCTGTTTTTCCAACGCCGGTCGAGCCTAGAAAAAGGAAACAACCCATAGGCTGGCGGCCACAGTTATCAAGGCCGATCCTTGCCCGTAACACTGCCTGCGCCACTGAATTCACGGCTCCATCCTGGCCGACAACGCGCTCGTGCAATCTGTCTGCTAGATGCATTAACTTGTGCTTTTCTTCATGATCAAGTGCGTGGACAGGAATGCCAGTCCATCGGCTCAGAGTCTTATTAAGATATTAATTGTAAGCAAGCAATTATTTACACAAACAAACATAAAGTAAGGGATACTTAGGTATATATGATGCCTACTTGTGCAACATGCTCGGGGCAAACAAATATATTGAGTTTTTTTGCTTGGCAGCAACCTGCATTCTTGTGGTGGCACATGCCTCGTCAATAAGATCAATTGCCTTGTCAGGAAAATGGCGACCTACATGCAGCAATAAATCCAAGCATGCCATCACGAAAAGATTAGCCCAAAGAGCTCTAGATTTGCGTGTAAATTAAACACCCCTCCTATTATAAAACCATTTAACGAATCCCCTATGCATGCTTTTAAATCCCCCGCTTTTGACATTATAAATATATACGAAAAAGTAAACAAAAGTATATCAATTTCACAGTGCACATGCATGCATCGAGTAAAAATCAATGCACAATCTGAAATACTCAATTATTTAGTCTCTAAAATAAAACTATGAGTTTGTATTTGCAAACCGTAGAGATGTGAACTAATTAACAAAAAGGCATACCATCATACACACCTGTCTGCTCGTCTTATGAGCCATACTTTTTCAGCAAAGGAACATTGTTTTTCTCTTACAATAAATCAGCGAACAATATTTTTTAGCTTGTCTTTTCAGCGAAGGCCTGTTCGCTTGAACTTATCAGCCTGGCTTATCAGCCATGGTATAGTGTTTTTCTCTTACAACAAATCAGCGAACAATACTTTTCAGCCTGGCTTTTCAGCAAAACGAACAGGCACGCTTCGCTGAAAAGACAAGCTGAAAAGTACTGTTCGCTGATTTGTTGTGAGAGAAAAATACTGTTCCTTCGCTGAAAAAGTATGACTTATAAAACAAGCGAACATGTGTGTACGATGGTATGCCTTTTTGTTAATTAGTTCAGACAAGCGAAAAAATATTGTTCGCTGATTTATTGCGAGAGAAAAACACTATTTCTTCGCTAACAGTCAATTATTTCAAATGTGTTGCTACTTGCTACCCATGCAGACGCACAAGTTAATAAACCAGTGAACGCAAATTAGTAGAAACACGGTGAACTACCCAATTTAAACTTAATTTTCTAATGCACCGCACTCAAAAGTGCTCTAATAATTGGATATATGAAATAATCAAGAAAACAACACGATCAAAATGATTACTGTTGAACACAGTATTCCTATAATCTTACTATTATACCTTGATATTGGAGATTAATTATTTTTGGAACATCCACATGAATCCTCAGAAGATGCATTGGAAAAATAGATAAATTCTCACCAAAACCAGAAACATCTAGCCATTAGTCTGGTAGACTCTAATCCTATAATAATAGCTGAACTCACACTACGGGATACAGTAGCTTGCCGAGTGCACTCGACAAAGGCTTTGCCGAGTGAACACGACATCTACAGTGTCGGCGAATAGCTATTTGCCGAGTGTTTTTTATCGCGACTCGATAAATGGTTTGCCGAGTGTCCATAAACACTCGGCAAAAATAAACTCTCGGTAAAAAAAAAGTTAACGGGATGGCACGGTGACGGCCCAAAACACTCGGCAAAGTTTCTAAACTTTGTTGAGTGTCAAGGCCACAACACTCGGCAAAGTTTAGACACTTTGCCGAGTGTCACGCCCAAAACTCTCGGCAAACAAGCGCGCAAGAGCCATATTTTATGGTCACTTTGCCGAGTGTCCATTAGAATACACTCGGCAAAGAAGGTTCCGAGAATAACAGAAAATGGCCTCTTCGCCGAGTGTTTTGGCTTGACACTCGGCAACTCCTCTTTTTGCCGAGTGTTACACTCGGCAAAGCGACCAATACCCCCTTTTTACTAATCTGTCACGTATAACAGACCCCTCTCGATTCACAATAAACCATCACAATTCACAATAAACCATCATCATAGGCATAATTATATGTCACATGCATAATAAACCATCATCACAATTCACAATAAACCATCATCACAAGCATAATAAACCATCATCACAAGTCACAATAAGCCACAAATGCAAACGCAATCACTGCGGAGGCCATTGGAACCACTGCGACAAATCCAGGTCTTGAGGCTGATGCCGCCGATTGATTCTGCACAAAAAAAGAAGAGATTGAATGTGTGAGACAAGATTGATATTTATATGTGATGCATTTAATATCTAAGGTTCCTCGACACATGGAGATTGCACTTAATTCATTATTTACGTGATACCTGTTGATCATTTTTGTTACATTGCAAAAAAAAAACAAAAGATTCTACAAAATCTAAACTACTATGGAAGTTCACAAGTTTCCAAATTGACATGCGCCATTTCGCACTGAGAGCCAATAAGTCAAAAATGAACACACAGTCCTAAAGCGGTAGCTCCCATGAACTTGACCTAAAAGACAATAAATTAGTTGGTGATAACTCTGATACTGGACCAGCTAAAATAGCTTCTTTCACAACCATACACATCCACAGTATCCAGAGCTCAAAAATTGGTCAATAATTTTACACCAAAAGGGCTCCCTAAGATCATGACAGTTAGAAAAAAGAAACTAATAGCTTACTGCTAGACTGCTAGTACAGTGGACAATTGGACATAGATGTAAAACTAGATCCGTAGAAAAACAATCGAGCACAATTGATTAAAAGGTTAAACGGAGTTTCATCAGGACAGCACACTATCCATTCATATATTAGTCAGTCATGAGCTTGGGGATTGACCTCATAGGTGCAAAGCACAGCTGGAAGACACTAAGATGCACGAGTTACTAAACTAGCCAGTTCACTCACCTGACTCCTGTATCTTGGTTTATATGGTGCGTAAGTAGAACAAACCAACTACCTGATGAGTACTGTGTAATGAGTTCATGAATTGCTTGGTCCAGTGAGAAAGGCATATGGTAAAAACTGATCCAGCTAATCCAGAAGGCATATGGTAAAATCCAGGCAGAGCCCATCTGAACCACACGTGATACCTGCTGTTGCCGGACAGCAACAATGGCTGGAGCCCCAATCTGTCCAGCCTGGGACTTATACTCCATTCAAACAGTACATTTATTTCAATTAATTTTCTTCTCACTAGTTTGGGATTTCATCCGAAAATACTTTGTCATCTCCTACAATGGCAGAGGACCTGCCGAGCTTGCTCAAAAAATGAATTCTGTGACACAACAATGTACTAAAGTAAATTTTCGATACTAGCTAACCAGGATACAAACCAAGGTGTCTTATCAAATATAGAGTAGCAGTAACTCGGTCAGTTGTTTCAAGATGCAGTATAAGGTGACTCTACATCTCTACCTAGTCACAAAAACATGCAAAGTATTCAATCTAAAGTTCTCTAAGTCATTTTGAGCTAACATCTAAAGTTCTCTAAGTTAAAGTATTCAATCTGCAGTATAAGGTGTCAAGTGACTCACAGGAGTAGTTGTGGGTGGCTGAGATGGAGGGAATAGTATCGGTGGCGGTGGCAAAGCTTGACCCATACTCGATGCAAAATTCTGCATGTATTGAAACATTTGGTCCATCCTCAACCGATTTTCTTCCTCTATCCTCTGCCGCTCGGCCTCTATCATCTGCTGAATCATATGCTCCATCGTCAGCCATTGTTCTGTCTCCATGTTCTGCCGCTCGGCCGCCACCCTCTGCTGAATCATCTCCTCCATCCTCGCCTCCATCTCCTCTCGTTGCTTCGTTTCTGCTTCCACCCGGGCCTATAATATTTCATCCCAATGTTACAATGCAAAGCTAAAGTACGTAACAATCAATGAACGATGAATAAAACAGAAATAACCTAGAGAGCCTCCATCTGGAGCTGTGTAGTGGTTGGCCGTGCGCGTATCGCTGGGCTCGAGCTCGTGCTCCTTGCTCGGATCTGGGAGAGAGTGGGAGTAGAGGCCGTGTCGATTGTACTGTCACCAATCCAGTACCGGCCATGCTTCTTGCCTCCTCCCACCCTCATCACGATTTCTCCATCAAGATCCTGGGTGCTTGGGTCGAACTCTGACCCATGAACCTCCCTTGCCATCGCTGTGTACTCGGTGACGCGGCTGTGGATGCTGGGATCGCCGTACGCCTCGGGTGGGTCCTCCGGGTTGAAGTCGATGTTTACCGTCGCCTTGCCCTTTTTGGACAGAACCCATGCCTTGAACTGGGAGCAAGGCTGGCCATCATGTGACGATGATTGCGGCAAAAACGCAAAATGATTAGAAATTATGCAGAATTGAGCGTTAGAATAAAGAAATGAATTCGCGTACCCATTTTTTCCTATATTCGTCGAGGCTTAGGCTGCCTTGATGGTGTGATGCACGTGGCATCAGCAAACGCCGGTCCCGGCAAGTGTTGTGCGTCTCCACCCACCCGGGCTCCAACCACGTGTCCACCATGTATTCCCAGCACTGGGTATGCTGGGCGCACCAGTACGGATGCACCTACGTCATCAAGTGTATGACATATGAAAAAATGAAATTAAGCGTAATTAATCTCATAAAAAGTAAGTATTAATTTTCTATATTTACCTTCAAGAATTGTTCCCGGGTCAGGTTCATTGTTCTTGCCTCTTCTTTTTTAACCTTCATCCCTCTGTATTGAGCATAGTAGTCGATTATGGCCTGGACGCGCGCCTCGTAGTGCATGTCCTTCACGGGCTTCTTGGCGGCTTCTTCAGAGATGGAGGCCGCCTTGGCCTCGTACCCCTCCTGGCATCTGTAGAAGTCCTGCATATAGACGCGATGTATACAGTCATTACTTCAAGAATGTCCAGTGAATGTGATGTATTGAGCAATGTAGTGCGAGGAATACTTACCCACAACTCGCCCTTCACCTGCTCCGCCTTGTTGGGGAATACCCTGCCGTCACGATCAGCGGCGTCGCGGGCGGCGACGTAGTGGTCCCACGTGTAGGCCGGCACCTGCTCTTTGCCGAACTGCACTAAGCCAGGGAAGTGTAGCCTGCACAAAAGGCCAAGGATGTCGTTGACCTTGCGGTTGTGATCACCCCCACTGACCTTAATCCAACCCCTGCCCAAGTGATTAAGATAAATTATTAGTTTCCATTGCAATTTTCAACATATCAAACGAAAAATTATTGAGAACATTTAAAGTTATTTACTTTTTTCCCAGAGGGTCGAATCATCGGGCGTCTCTCAAGCGGTATCGGTCGCCTCGGGAGGGTCGAGGGACCTCGCAACCAGACCTGGGAACCAACTGCCTCCTCCTCCACCTGCTCCTGCTCCTCCTGTACCTCCTCCTCGTC